TGTGTGTGTGTGTGTGTGTGTGTGTGTGTGTGTGTGTACATATATATACACAGTATATGTATATGTATATATATATATATATATATATATATATATATATATATATATATATATATGTGTGTGTGTGTGTGTGTGTGTGTGTGTGTGTGTGTGTGTGTGTGTGTGTGTGTGTGTGTACATATATATACACAGTATATGTATATGTATATATATATATATATATATATATATATATATATATATATATATATATATATACACACACACAGTATATGTATATATGTGTGTGTGTGTGTGTGTGTGTGTGTGTGTGTGTGTGTGTGTGTGTGTGTGTGTGTGTGTGTGTGTGTGTGTGTGTGTGTGTGCCTGTCTCAGAGTGGTCAAAAGCCTTCATTGTAACGCTCTCCAACTAGCAGGGGTGACCAATAGTGCGTCACCGCCGCTGTACTGACCTAAGCCACGCCCACATCCCACTTGACCTTTGCCGTAACCTTGACCCGTACAACACACTCTACCCCGAGTCACTCTCCCGTTCGGACGCGGCCTCCCTCGGGGGAAACCCTCCAGGGCCCCTGCCTTACCGGGGCTCTACTTCTGCACAAGCCGGCTACACTACCGTCAACGTATACCACAAATAAAACATACAACCGGACCGTGCACTTAACAAACACGACCCTGATAATTGGTGGACAGCGGTGACAACAAGCCCCTCACAAAATGGTGCCAGCAGAGGATGTCGCTTCTTTCAAGCTTGCGACACGAATTCCAAGCTTCCTGCAAGAACCAGCGCTTCTCTCCAAAAACAAAACTGTAAGTACGGCATGGGCAATTCTTTTCCTTTCTTGTTTCTTCCCCATGTGTGCATGCCGTTATGTTTTCATCAAATGCAGTGACTTTTCTAAACATCTGAACAAGTGTTCGTGCTAGTGCATTTTTTCTCTCTATTATATACCATATTCCTTCGAATTTCCTCATCATGGTAGATTACCTTTAATTCCTTTACGAGAGTAATTTTCTTAAGCGTATTTTCTTTATGTAACTCGATCCAGGTATACTAAAGCACTATGTAGGTATATTAATTTTTTTCTTTATATTCATTGATTTTCTCGAATCCTCTATGCCCACGAGGGTACAGCTGTAAAATAATGCCATATTCTATTCCCCATTGCGTTAACCGATGCTATATTGACGTAAATTTCGTCACTTATTATTGCTCATTGCATTAATCTCGGCTCGACTTAACTGTGCATTAGTGGGATATTTTATTGAAATACTTAAAACAAGCATTTTTTTCTTTCTCCAACTTCCCCACTTATCCTCGTTCCCAACTCTCCCCCTCTCCTTCCTTAACCCCCCTACTTCCACACTCCCTCTCTACCTATTTTCATTATATCTGTTAAGGTCACTAACGTTTTAATATTCCAGTGTCGTGATATCTGTTTAAAAATCGTTTAATTTAAACGAATATAAGTGAGTTATATTTTGTAAGTGTGATTTTCGTCTGACTTGCCCCTTCACGACCAAATTTTGACCGCGCGTGACCTGCCTCCCTGACCCTTCTGTCCCTGTGATTTCTCGAGTTCATTACCAGTTCGTCATCTTGTTGTTAAATTCCGAACATTGGATTTTTCTTGTCTTGTCTTGCATATATTTATATAAACAATATGTTTTGCTTTATTAGCATTTTCATATCACAAAACCGTAAATGTTTTATATGTACAATTGTTATACTTGTGTTATTCTAATTTCCTTTTGGTTAATATTTATTACATCAGGTCAGGTGAGGACATTTTCTCCCCTCTTTTGACCTGCGTGTGAAATGCCAGGGACAAATGTTTTCTTATATTTTTTGATTTTCAATTTACGGAATTTTTTCATAATTTCTTTTTCCATATAAATATGATTTTGATAACGCGAACTAAACATTTATGATAGAGTGATAATGTTACTTCAGCTTTGACAGAGTTAATTTTCGCCATCGTTGTTCTTTTTCGTTATCTACATAGTTTTATTTTTTCGTATTCACTACAGTACAGTTTACAATCATATATTCAGTTATTTTTCCTATTCATCTGATACTTATTATGCTATATTTTATTAATTAATTGTTCTAGCATTTAATTTTTCGATGACAATGTGTTTCTTTTTCACACATTTATTTTATTATTTACTAGCTTCTACTATGTTGTGTACAACACTTGGGTATGAACCTGACTCACTCAGGTAAAATGGTCAAATCTGCCATATGACTCCGCCCACGACTAGAAATATTTATTCAATTCATTAGTGTTTTTATTTCAATTATCTCTCAGTGTTAGAGATTATTTTCATTATATCAGCTACTACGATTTCATATTGTTCGTGATTTTCATTATCATAATTCATCAATTCACGTGAAATTGCCTTGATCATCATAACGATTTTCCTTCTTTCCTCTGTCATGTCAATCGTTAAGAAGCTGACTGATTTTCGTTTCTTACATTAATAATATTAATCGCGAACATCATTTCATTATTATTGCATGGTCCTTGGTGACGACCCCACGCCGGTTTCTGGACATGTATTTAGTATTAAGTCGAATGTTGTTCTTATCGCCCAGCTGCGATCCGGCGCCCGTGTTTACGACTCTGTGTGCTTGGTGCTGGCATTTCCCAACGGGATGGGATGCCCAATTTGCATATCATTTTTGCAACGTATGAGCTCGTCCCGGTAGTACTCTCCTCAACATGAAGTTATGGTGGGGTACTGACCGCTTTTCCTTTGGGACCTTTTATGTTAAGTATAACTAACAACCACGAGGTTGTCTTATCGGCCGATTAGTTGTCTGAGAAGCTGACCCGATCTGCTTGCATCATGCGTTCCGTGACAGATTAGTCACCTTTACTTTAATTTCAATTACTAAATGTAGTATCATTTCTGTGACTTTTAATAGTAGTTGATATAATGTTGCAATTAACGTATAATAATAACTATGTTGCCATATTTTATTAATATTCTTTTCGTACAGTCAGGTTGGTATCTATTTCCCTTACATACTAACATTTTTCCACCTAACTTACTTACCAACGCCCCCCATTCTGCCCCATACCCCTCACTCTCCCCTACTACCCTTATTCCCCCCGCCCTCCCTCTCCTCCCCTTCGCTTATTTATTTCAACTCGCACGCCATTCTATTCCTTATTTACTTTCACTCTCGCTTATCTATTTACTAATGATTCTAATTCTATTCTAATCACTATCATATTTTCTACTCGTGTGCTGTACTCTGACTTACTCATTTCATTACTCACGTCGTCTATTCACCATTCGCCTCATGCAGCCACATCATTTCTCCTTTGTATAAGCCACGTTAGTTGCACAAGAATTACGTGCGTATAGTTTCAGAGAAGCAATCGACTTACGCCTATCTTGTATTCTTGCCTTGCATTTTATCGTGCCGTATGTTGTCGTGAGCAGGCATAAATGATGTAATGAGTCGCTCTCGAACGTTATGAGGACTGCATTACCTATTTTCATTATAGCTTTGCCTCGAATTACCGATGGTGTCCGTGATAGACAAGTTCTATGAAAAAAACGATACGTATTTAGTATAAGTCAGATGTATGTTGTATGTACGATTGCACAAAACACTGTTGACCCTCGCATTGTTGCATTTTTTCTTTTCTTTAAGGAAGTTATGCACAATGCTTATCTCTTGTAGATTTCATCTCTTTCTATCCTCAGACAATTGCAACTCAAGCTTCTTTCGGACTATTGCAATTGTCTCCATAAGCATATTCCCCAGTCTCTATTTCTTGACAGTTGAATTATTATTCAAAATGATAAAAAAAAATAAATATCTTCAATATTAATTTACTGCATTATATTTGATTATATATTACATACGGCCCTTGTCACACAACCTCCCCTCTCCCAGTTCGCCCTCCTGTCTCTGCCCTCGGTGTACTTGTTTCAGAAAATGTCGGAGCAGCGAAGGGACGCAACCTGCCAGGACAAACCGAGCACCGGCCGACGACAGGAGCGCACGACGCAGGGCGCGAACAGGAGAAAGCCACATAGGTCCAGCACCGCGAAGGTTCATAGAAAGTTGCTTCCCCGTCGGGGACGACGGATGGGTGCCTGTGCCGAGCGATCTCAGAGTGGTCAAAAGCCTTCATTGTCACGCCCTCTAACTAGCAGGGGTGACCAATAGTGCGTCACCGCCGCTGTACTGACCTAAGCCACGCCCACATCCCACTTGACCTTTGCCGTAACCTTGACCCGTACAACACACTCTACCCCGAGTCACACTCCCGTTCGGACGCGGCCTCCCTCGGGGGCAACCCTCCAGGGCCCCTGCCTTACCGGGGCTCTACTTCTGCACAAGCCGGATACACTACCGTCAACGTATACCACAAATAAAACATACAACTGGAGTGTGCGTTTAACCAACACAACCCTCATATTGGTGGACAGCGGTGACAACAAGCCCCTCACAGTGTATATGCGTGCGTGTGTTTTTATATATATATATATGTATATATATATACAAATACATATATATACATACATACACATACATATATATATATATACACACACACACATATATATATACACACACACACATATATATGTTACAGGCAATATGTGAAATTAGTCATTACATGAAATGACTAAAATATTTAGGCATTACGTGAAATGACTGTGACCACCAGTCATTATATGTAATAACTCAAATAGCCAGTCATTCCGTGTAATGACTGAAAAATATGCAGCCTGATTACACCTATTGCCTAAGTATCCATTTGTTCATTCAGTCAGTGAAAAAGCCTATAATGCCATGTCATCTGTACAGTCAGGTAACAAATAAGCTGGAAGAGGGGAGACTGAGTGCCATTTCAGAGCAGCATGTTGACTTCTCATTGCCCTGGTGCCGCCAGGTCACCGATGTAACCTTGGAAAGCTGGCAGGACCGTGAAACAGAGACGCTGCCTTGCCGCTGCCGGTGACACAGGTCAATGGGGACACCTTTTGAGATACTGCAACTTCCTGATATATTTTTCTTGTTCGAAGCTCCGTACATATTACAGAGTGATATTGGGGCAGAGTTCACAGCCAAAGGAATCAGTGAGCTGAAAATCATCTGGCCCAAACTTGTCCTCGTTCATGGAAAGCCTCGACATACACAGAGCCAAGGATCCATGGTTGCATGGATGGGAGACAACAACACCACGGATTGGAGCATTGGAATCAAGTTTGTCCAGTTCCAGAAGAATTCCAGCTTGCATGCAGGTATTCGCAGATCACCCTATGCAGCCATGTTTGGATGTGAGGCCAATCGTCCTCGCTGCCTGATGACGTCCTCGTCCTCGCTGCCTGATGACGTAATTCAAAGGATGCAGTGTGAGGATGGTCTGTTAGCTGTACTCACCACCGGTCAAAACGGAGAGGAACCAGGTCCTGTTCCCAGTGCTGAATCAGCCGAGTCAACTTGCCCAGGCTGAACGCATGGTCAAACAGAGTCGAATTGACCTTGCAGCCAGCGTACCACTTGATAATGCTGCTGTCCCTATTCCAATGGTAGATAAGGGGCGAGGTGATCTTCGGAACATTCTCGGTGTCGTCTTGGAACGTGACCAAAATGACATGTACACCATTGGAGTCAAGGCAGGAGTTCTGAAGGCCAAGCTGTCACACAACCAGTTTGACTTATGCCCTCAGCGCCTTCTGGGAGAGGACTCCATCAATCGCGACAGGGTGGTATCTGCGAGAAGCTTTTACCTTTGAATCGAACTGTGGTGGACAGGGTTTTGTCAAATGCAACTGCGCAGGACCCAAAAAGTATCAAACAAACAGATGCAAGTGCTTTAAAAACAAAGATAAATGTAACAGTAGGTGCCATGCTGGCATGACTTGTACTAATAAAGTCTAAACTGGGACCTCTTTGACAATGCTTCAATTCAGGGATATGTAACTGAAAATTGTGTGAACAGTATTCACTTATCATCATATGCAGAAATGAAGGATAACTTGTATAATTGTATTTCATGACCTGAAGGAATGTGTGAATAGTAGTTTCAATTGCACCATGACTTGCACAAACAAATTACAAAGTGTAAATACTTGCACATGCGTGTATTAACGTTTTTATGAGTTGAAATGAAGTGTGAATAGTAATTGATATCTTTGCGTTATCAGTTCAGTCATTTCATGAAATAACTGGACCCATTTTTTTGTCATTACACGGAATGACTGGGTTTTTGAGTCATTACGTGAAATGACGTGTAATGGTCACAGCCATATATATATATGTATGCACACACACACACGCACACATACACACGCATATATATATACAAATACATATATACATATATATTAGACTGGGCAAGAACTGTCAGAACAAGCAGAAAATCGGGCTCGCATTCTGGCTAAACTGCTGTAAATCAAGTTTCTTCCGGAAACTTTGTAACCTAAAGCACAGGAGTAGTTCGTCTGGTGTTTTCGCCTTGAGGCTTTTTTTCCTTTATCTTTCTTAATTCCTATTACAAATTTTATTCTTCTTTCCTTTTCTTTTATTCTTTCTTCGTCCTTTTTCCCTTCTCCCTTTTTCTTTTACTTATTTTTATAATCGTTACTAGTGTTGGTGTCATTGTCACTGCTATTATTATCATATCATTATAATTATCATTATTATCATCTTTATTATTATTATATATATTATCAACAATGTTGTTCGTGCAGCAACTTTTGTCATTATTATCATAATTCTTATCATTACTTTCTCTATTATCATCATTATAATTATAATCATTATTATCATCATTGTCATTATCATCATTATCATTATTATCCCTATTACTATTATTATTCTAATAATTACTGTTGTTTTCATTATTATTATTATCTCTATTACTATTTTTATTCTAATAATTACTGTTATCATCATCATTATTTTTTTTGTTATTATTATTGTTATTATTATTGTTATTATTATTATTATTATTATTATTATTATTATTATTATTATCACTCTCATAACATTTCCGACTTGAGATGTAATTGGCCTGGTCTTTATACTAGGTTGGCTGACCCATGATCTTCCCCAGAAGATTAGTTGATTGGGATATCATTGTTAGTGGGTTTTAACCCATCATCGTGTCTACGATAGACTTACCCACTACCGTACCTAGGTTTGATTTACCCAACATAAATCAGCGATCCTTTTCCTCTTCAAGTTGATTTACCCAACATAAATCAGCGATCCTTTTCCTCTTCAAGTTGCATCGGAGAAGCAGACGGCCACATTCTCCACGAGACCGAGGATGTCCTTGCTCGTTGGGAAGAGTATGTTCAAGAACTTTTTGACGATGAATAAGAGCCAATAGATCTAGTCCTGGAAGCTTATTATTATTATTATATTCATTATTATTATTATTATCAATATTATCAATATCATAATTATCATTATTATCAATATCATAATTATCATTATTATCAATATCATAATTATCATTATTATCAATATCATAATTATCATTATTATCAATATCATAATTATCATTATTATCAATATCTTAATTATCATTATTATCAATATCATAATTATCATTATTATCAATATCATAATTATCATTATTATCAATATCATAATTATCATTATTATCAATATCATAATTATCATTATTATCAATATCATAATTATCATTATTATCAATATCATAATTATCATTATTATTACAATTCTTATCATTATTTTCATTATCATTTTGCTATCATAATTATCATCATCATCATTATCGTCATTATCATTATTGATATTATCATTATAGTTTTTATCATTATCTTTGTTATCATTATTTTCTTGAAATATATTGATATTATCATTATAGTTTTTATCATTATCTTTGTTATCATTATTTTCTTGAAATATATTGTTATTATCATAATTACCATATCATTATCATTATTGCCATTAGTATTATTATTATTATCATCATCATCATCATCATCATCACCATCTTCATTATCATCCTTATTAGTATCATTATTATCATTATTGCTATTGTGATTATCATTTTCATTATCATTGCTACTGTTATTATTGCCATTATTATTATTATTACTATCCTTATTATAATTATTATCACCATAAATGTTATTATTTTCATTTTCATTATCATTGGCATGAGTATTGTTATCAGTATAACCATTATTATTAATATCATTATTATCATTATCATTTTTATTATTTTCATTGTCGCTGTTATTATTATTATTACTATTATCATTTTTATTATTACTATTAGTAGTAGTAGTAACGTCATTATCTTTATCATTACCATTATCATTTCATTACCATCATTACCATCATCATCTTCATGATTATCATTATTATTATCGTTACCATTATCATTATTATCATTTTTATTGATTATTCTTATTTACGTAATATTTGGAACAAATAATTCATGTGAATAAAGCTCTATTTGGTCCAAAGAACACTGAAAGAAACACGTTAATAAGATGAAGCCCAGATAAGAAAATATGATAATGATAGTAGATAACATAAATAGTTTACATTGTAAGTTTCAAAATTAAAACAGCATGCCTATTTTTCCCACCACACAATAACGGACAAAAAACATCAACTTCGCTTCATATCATTTGACTCAAAAGTTTCCTGCGTGTAGATGCAATGTCATTCCACTGAGTATTACACAGCCAACGTGATCAGAACCGCACATCGCATATACACAATACCACACCCTTTCCACCATCAACCCGCTTTCACCACCACAAACATAAGGAATAGCTGCCCTGTGAATTTCCATGTCAAAACAGTAACAAGTCCCAGCGATGCGGTTATGAAATTATTAATTGGCATTAGAGCGAGGAAAATTAACACAGTTTATTGTTGCGATTTCCCAAGTAATGTAAATATAATGGCCACACGCTATTAATATTCATACTCTGAAATGAGTTGATTGTAGATCAAATACAGAAATGTCCACACGAACTCTCTGCGTTGGAATCATATAATTAAAGAGAATTCCAGCCACTGAAATATCGTGCCTTTTCAGAGAGTTATGAATTAACGGATTTTGATCATTCGATTTAATGGAATTTCAATGCTCATGGGTCGGGCTTTCTGTTTGCTGCATCAGTGTAATCGCGCCTCGCGTGAGCCTCCATTGCGTTTTTTAGCAGCTTGAATTTTGTGATTGCATTTTGAATATGTATTTGTAAACAGCGCGCGCATACATATCATATAAATATGATATATCTATCTATCTATATACATATATCTGTATATGTATATATACACAATTATAGATGGATTAATCACAGCTGTTACGCTCTATTGTTTACGCGGAATTCAAGTCAGCCACTCTGATCGGGTTTATCCGCGAAGCCGCAATTTGCAAATTTCATGTTTTTTGAGGCCCGATTTAAAATATTTAGGGGAGAACAATTCTAACCGAAATAATTTTAAATAATAGCTTGGACATCGAGCAAAATACTTATCTCTCTTTTCTAACCTTGTTAGCCAAAAAGGCCATACAAAAATTAAATCGCTACGCAACTTTCATGGTTTCACGGAATTTAAGCCGACCAGGCTTCTGAACGGTATTATGTAATAATTTATATTTTTTCATAAATTTAGAATGATAACGAGGCTCTATTTTGAAGGGGGTGCGAAATTGGTCAGTTTCTTCAAAATACCATTATGTAAAATATTATGTTAAATATTCGAATAAAAAGTTTAGCGCGTGGCTGTGGCATGATCGCTCTTTCCTACGAAACCCGCACCGAGAGTAGGATAAACCTTAACTGAAATGGATTTAGAATTGTGAAAAACTTTGTTGAATTTAAACTTTCTGAGGACAGAACTTATAAACTACAATTTATAAGAAATAGATCCCACGCTTTAAAATTAATTTTTGGCGAATTTCAAACAATAAAAAACTGCTCTAAATTCAGTGATGGATAAAAACCAAATGACAGCCCCCCCCCCCCCAAAAAAAAAAAAAAAAAAAAACGCCATTTTGGTGAAGTATTTAGAAAATTCCTTTCATGTGCTACAAAAACTTCACAAACCTGAAAAAAAATATTCAGAATCTATATAACTTTTGATTTTCCAGTTATATTACCTCAAACTGGTGTTACCAATTAAAATGCGCATTGTGGTGCCTCTACCCAGCATCATGCATTTAACGGAGTGATATAAAGTTTGAATTTCAAGTTTGTCGTGTGTGTTGTCATGAGGTAAATATAGTGCTAATAAACATTAAATGTTAGAAAATTTAACAGAAAATGTTAAATAAGCAAAGTATCGAGTAAGAAAGCGTACATCGTACAAAAATGTACATCGCGGTCGGAAAGTTAGGCCTTCGTGACTTGAGTTCCGCCTTCGTGACTTGAGTTCCGAGTTGTACCAAGGATCATATGCAATATATACAGATGGTTCGAAATCTGAAAATGGTGTAGGCTTTGCAGCAGT